CGTCTCCACGCCGCCACACCCGCCACGCCTCCACGCCATCTTAAACAGGTTTGAAACACAATATCTGCATCATTTTCGAGCTTATATACTAAAATCCATCATCAGAGTACTTTTTCTGCTCTATCTTTTCCCTTAGATTTAATTTGTTCGTATGATGGTTCTTTCAATAGTTTGTTATGCAATGTGAATTTTTGTGACATGGGTCTTGAAAAAAAATCTAAGAAATTCAAGTTGGGTTTGCTCCGTTTCTAGAATTTACTTGGACAAATTCAATTTTTGATGTTTTGGGCTTATGGGTTTACTTGAAACCTAATGATTGAGCTCTACTATTTCTAGTTTTAGTTGTTTTTAGTTATGAAATTGAGCAAGTGTCATTCTTAATGAAGTTGAGTAGAGAATTTGGGGATCTATAAGTTAATTTTCGATAGTCTCTGTCTGGTTCATATTTGTTCATGACTTTATTTTGGGTTAGACCGTGAATTATTGTTCCTTCATCCCTGCCTCTGAAACTTATGATTCTGGATCTCCTAACACAGGGTTTACTTTTGTAAAGTAATCACTCATGCACAACTTACCTGGTTTAATTGCCAGCAGTTGATTCTACAAAGTTGAAATCGAGCATCATATGCCCTGGAAAATAATTGATGCAAGTGCCTCTCACGCTTTGTCCCTGCAAATAAGAATTCATCCAGATTAGTTGTAACCATTGAGTTTGTCCATTTTGCCTGCAGAATTCGCCATTTGTTAAGCCTGTCTGTAGAAAAAGTAGCAAATGGCGAAGAGCTTATTTGGTATTTTCCCCTCAATTTAATGTAAGAACCCGTGTGATTCGATTCAAAGATGATCTTATTGTCGAGAGAACCTTAGGTGAGAATACTCCTGCACATGAAGAACTATTGAATCTAATTAATCTGGGCAAAGTCTGTTCCCGTTTTAGTGGTGTATTTTTATTAACGGGTGGCATGTACAATGAGGAATAATTAAGCTATTTGTAAGAAAGCTCGTGGATTGTAATTTTGCTCACCTACAGATTTGTTCCCTTGTTCTTGTACCTCTCCTAAAGAATGTTGTCATTTTGGAAAACTTATGCTATGACATGAGAAAATAGCTGTAGAGAGATATGGTATGTTGAAATTTTCCAATTTATCAAGTGAAAAAAGCTCTTAATAGCTGAAATAGTCTAGATTAGATAAAAGAATCCCACGTTCGAACTCCATTATAAAGATTCAACAATAGAAATAGCTAGTAAGAGAAAATTATGTAGCTAGCTTTCATTTTCCTCCTCTTCCTACTCACCTAGACTCTAAATATGTATGTATGTAGAGAGAGATATTTATGTAACTAGCTTTTATTTTGTTTGGATCTCTAGTGCGCCCTCTATGGGAGGCTCTCCCCTCAGTCGCCATCGTCGGAGGCCAGGTTCCTTTCTTCCTCTATTAGATCTTGCATTTTCTTCTTTTGATCTATCTTTGATCTTGATCTTGATGAGATTTGTTTGATTGCAGAGCTCGGTGGATCTGGTGAGAGTCGGTGTGAAATTTTTGAATATTTTTTGGAATTTTGAAATTTTTTGTGCTTTCTGGGGTAAAAATGCGTTTTTTTGTTGAAGGGATTGTGACGAGGAGGCCGTTGGTGCTCCAACTTCACAAGACGGAGGACTGGCAACCTGAATATGCAGAGTTTCTTCACATGCCGAGGAGAAAGTTCACTGATTTTTGTGAGTTACTTTGCTATCAGTTAGTTTATTTGAGAGAAAGGTTACTGTTTTGATTCATTTTTTGTGAGTTTATTACTGATTAGTTTGTTTGAGAGAATAAGGTTATTGGTTTGATTAATTTGTTTGTATGGATATTGTCTGTGCTTAGTTTGAGTTTTTTGTTGTAGATACTTGTGCTTACTAAAGGCTATTAGGTAAATTGCAGATAACTACCTCATCTATACCTTCAGTAACAATAACCATTCCTAATTTGAGTGCTTATTTATAAACTTGTTATTTTCTGTAGGAACGATTTGTCAAGGGGAGACATCAGCTTTTGGGCCCTAATTTATCTACTCTCAAGGTATAATATGTTTTATGAACAAGTTAGTTCAATCAATTATCAATTATGTGCAATTAGTCCCTAGCTTTTAATTATTCAGTCTAGCTTATAAAACATCCACAATGCTACAGGCCATTGAAATATTGATAGGTTGCTATGTGTTAGTTCAGGAACTGCTCCATTTCTTTTATGCTTATCTAAATTTACATATAAGTTACCTTATCTCATTCATTAATCGACCTATCTAAAATAAAATATGCAGGAAAATTGATTGTTCAGTAATTTTACATAGGGTATTGGGTTAGATGTATCAAAAAGAAGTAATGAATGTTTTAAATTTAAATCCTGGAGAGCGGAGGCAATGGAATGTTTTTTAGCAGAAAGATACTTTCTGTTAGCTTTGAAGGACTTATGAAAGTTCCAATGCTAATTTTGTTCTAGTTGCATGAGTTATAGGATAGACAGGCAAAGAAACTATAACAATGAGCACTAAGATATGATTCATAGCAAGGTGTAACTTGTTTTTACATGATTAAATATGAATATCAATTTGTATTGCTGTGCTTCTTACCAGATATGACATCAAGCAGAACAATGTCATTCTCGCAGAGGACAAACATGTGCCCATGTAAGTTTTTCAATCTCTCTCGGGAACCTTTTTTGGTTTATTCTTTTAACTTTTTAAGTACTGCAAGTGAAAAAAAATTGATACATCTTGTTTTCTTTTGTTTCTCTTTTCTTCGAACATATATAGCATCTGCATAAGGAATCATATTGAATATCTAACTTTATATATATCATCTGCTTACATACAAGTTTTGTATAATACATTTTTGTCTATTAATTCTGAAATCTGAATCCTGTAAGTTCTAATAATTTTCTCCATCTTTCCACTATAAGATATTGTCTTCTCCAGCCCATCAATAATGCATGCTCTTTCTATAGCATTGGGTTATATTTTGATTTCCCTATTAGTTCTTCTGCAAAGCTAATGCTTTCTAAGTGTATTTCATGGCATGGACTAATTGATGTTGAATTTTGTATAATGTAGGATCAAGGAGGAAGAAACATGATACTTCAACAATTTGGAGGAGTAAATGCAATTGGATTCTATAAATTATGCAAAGTTCATCAAGTTATGTAAATAATTGTATTCTTTATAATCTATGTAAAAAATTTATGTATCTTTCTAGTATTTTGGTGAATGTATTTTTTGAATATAATTATATTTGATATTGAAATATAATTAGATTGATTGTGTTGGATATGAATATGATTTGGTGTTGTGCAATATTATGAACATGTTATATTATATAGCGAGCAACATAGATTTTGCCAAAAAAAAAAACTATTGTAGCAGAGCAACCTAGACGGAATCCCGTCTAGTTTGCTACTGTAGCAATCCGTCTAGGTTGGCAAACTAGACGGAATTTCGTCTAGTTTGCTAACCTAGACGGAGTTCCGTCTAGTTTGCTAACCTAGACGGATTTCCGTCTAGATATCAACCTAGACGGATTTTTTACTTCCGTGTAGGTTGTTTTTCGTCTAGGTTGGCAAACTAGACGGAAATATTCTAGACGGAGAAAACTAGACGGAATTCCGTCTAGGTGAACCAATCTAGACGGAAATTTCCATCTAGATTGTTCGTTTTTCTACTAGTGATATAAACTGCCTAGGCC